GCCTAGCGCTCCAATGCCGAAGGGATCGCGCCGTATGACCGCTTCCCCAATCTGTTTGACATGACGCGCTGCGACTTGTCTGCTGACTCCGCCCTTGCCGCGCAACGGGCCTCCTGTCGGGCACCCAAGCGTGCAGTTGTGAACAAAAGACTACGACCCCAAGGAACACCACACCTCGTAGCGTTCAGGCTGTAACTGGGTAGCGACAAGAGGCCGTCGTGCGGCGAGAAGGTAGGGACGCAGACGGGCCAGCGGACGAGTCGCAGCGAGTACTGTAGCAAATTCTAGTAAGCAAATAATATGAACTATAGTACGTCCCACATCACAGTACCCGTCTTTATCTCCGCTTACGCGCCGCGCGACGGCCTCCTGTCAGGTCGGCCTGTAACTGCTGCCGCTGCGGGTCACGTTCATAATGGTGGCGCGTCGAGTCGCGCGAGGGCGTGGTTCACTAGGACAGAAGCGCGCGGAACATTCTTCGCTGTGGGAACCTCAGCTCCAGTCGTGATAACGGTGGACCTGGGATTACATTATTTTTACACGTGGAAGGAAAAAAAGGTGGAATCAGCGAGAGATTAAAGAACCATGGACACGGCAATCAAACGAGCACTTCACCAACACGCCACTTTTCAGAATCAATTTCATTAGTAAATATTAAACACTGCAAAAAACAGGTGTTAACAGCCATTCACTCAACAATCGAGGCAGACGACGCAAAGTCCAGAAAACGGATTTTTCATTTCAACAGCAGAAAATCCCATAAACACCACTTAAACAATAAATCAACAACATCAAAAGAAGAAACGGTGAAGAATAGGTATTTCGTAAACGGAAAGGCAAAACAGTTAATCGATGGGTTCAGGACAGCCGGGTCAAAAACACCGAGCGAAATTGAGTCGAGTAGAGCGACATTGACCCAATCGATATGGATCGGATCACAAGTGTCTTGAAGAGTTGCGTGAAAGAAGTACAAATTTTGAAGTAAAACAAACAGATTCCGGAAACTACTGCTCAGACATGAGCCCTTAAGAATAGAGAACTGATTGCAGCCACCAGGAACGTTAACTTTGAAGCGCCAGGGCCAATAATTGGTCAGTATGGCTAGATTTTCTCAGGGGGATCGTGCAGGTCACAGCTGATCTAAATGAACTGTCGAAACTGCCTAACTTCTATGGTTGGGATGGAAGGAAAGTAGAAGCAAAATTAGCTTAAATATTGCATTTTCATTAAATCATTGTCATATCCTTTTTCGGTGCTCAAGCTCTTTCGGGTTCGTGATCTACAAGGTCTTTACTCCTTCAGCCATAATATTCAAAACCAGCAAAATAAGTTATTAATCACCAAAATCCCCCTATAAAAATCACAAATAACTCTAAATAATGTGGCCTTCAATGAAACCGCTAAAAAAGTTCCAAGCCGCCGAGCTAGGAAATGGAAAACCCAGGAAAGCCAGCGTTAGAGCGAACCTTCACATTTTTTGGTTAGGGGCCATTTACGGAGCTTAGGCTTAAACGAACAAACTGGTATCAGCTAAGCCTGCGTAACCGCACGGGTAACGATATTGATCAGCGGGAGATAAAAAGAAACCATGGAACACGTTGAAAATACCTAGACAACAAAACAAAGACGGCTAAAATATCTCAAGTAGAAAAGAACCACCGAATACCTTAACAATACCTAATAGACTCTACAAACAATCCATTTTCATTGTCATATATTTCCACTTTAATCAGAAGCATGAACCATTGTGAAATATGAAGAAAAGAAGCCATAGAATAATAACCGAGGTAAGATAAGAAGTAGCAGTCTGCAAAGAAGCAAATCAGTGATGTCGTTTTCATACCTAATGAAAATAAAAGCAAAGGCCTACAGCCCTAACCACAAAAGGATAAATGGATACCTAAGCGTCATCCAAGAAGAAGAACTGTCCGCTCCTCTTCTGCTCGATGTCTTTAATGGAATCCTTTTTGTTGATTCTCGGCCGATACGATTCCGTATCGCGTCGGAATGTGATTTCCAGCATTTTCAAGAAACGATTCATTCCTTCTTGGAGATTCTGCGGCCTAAATGTGATGCGGTCATGAGGGCAATCACAATTTCGGCGCCAGTTAATCTAATCGCTTTTGATTCTGAGCTACAGCCTCGAAAAAGCCAAGGAACAGCTCCGGGAAGAAGGACGCACGAAGAATTTCAAGAATGAGGAGCTGATAAATCATACTACACTTTTACAAAAAGTGTCCAGCGAAAAAGGTCAAAGTTGCAAAAAAAACGCACTTTCTTGCAGTTGCCTCTACAGACGGCTCTCCGTCAAACACAATCACTCGATCAGCAAGGTAAGTGGCCATAATGAAATCGTGCTCGACGACGAACGCCGTCTTTTTAGCATGCATGATGAACCTGAAATAATAATAATAATTGTTTGAATTCAGTGTATAATAAACTGAGGATATCCACCACTGCGAGACTTCTATGTATAATTATAAGGTAACGAAGCCAACTAAGATGTGCAAGGAAAGGATGGTAGGTCGAAGTGGCCGTTCGAAATGAAATGTATACCCTGATGCGTCTCCAGACGCTGATTCCAAATCTGCCTTCCAAATCTGCTAAACGGCTCTCCGAACGGAGTTATGAAGCGTAATAGCTCAGTGGTGATGGTCCGGGGTGGCAGGTAAAAGCTCGTAGGATCGGTTCCTTTGCAAGTTTGTTGCTTTGCTTTTGTCCGCAACACTTCTAGAGACAAAAGCAAAGCAACCAATTTGCAAAGGAACCGATCCTACGAGCTTTTACCTGCCACCAGGGTGAATAACGGTCGAGGAAATCCTCGACCATAGCTCTCTACCATGCGAGAGTAGTGCCGAGAGTGAACATCCGCGCGGAGAGCACAGACGGCACGGCATGGCGAGTGTGAATGTCCGCGCGAGAGATCGTCTCTGATCGGGCAGAGAATCCTCGACGTGCCGTTGAGGAATCCTCAAGCGATATTCACCCTGCCCCCGGACCATCACCACTGAGCTATTACGCTTCATAACTCCGTTCGGAGAGCCGTTTAGCAGATTTGGAAGGCAGATTTGGAATCAGCGTCTGGAGACGCATCAGGAGGTATACATTTCATTTTGAACGGCCACTTCGACCTACCATCCTTCCCTTGTTAGATTGCAATCAAGAGAATCAGAAAATGTGGCTGAATAGTAAGCAGAGGACCGGTTGGTGCAGCCAGGATATAAACGCGTCTGTAACACGTGGACGACGCATAGGTCACATGCGCCGCATTGAGCCATGACGGACAGCGCGGATAAATGGTCCTTGCACCCGCTACAATAATTTGTTCCGTGCACGCGCGATGCATTTTTGAGCTTCTGCATTCATTGTATAGGGTCAATAGAGTTGTTGAAGTATGCTCCATTTCAAACGAGGACTTCCAAACCTTAAAGAGTCTTCAGTTTTGTTGATTTTCGTTTACTTCTTCACACAAATTGTGATTTTTAAAAGAGTAATAGAAGTAAACACGGAACCTGACAGATGACAAGGTATGAGTTTTAATTGGAACAATTAAGGTAAAACTGCCCTTGAAGTCCATAACAGCTAATTCAGACAAATTGTGCTTTTTCATTGTACTGCTCGTATTTCGATCAAAATTTCACTCCATACCCCTGGGTAGTCTCCAATGACTGAAAATTACTTATCTAGCTTTGTATCAACCACGTTTTACGTATATTTACAACTCGAAATGCGCTTGAATGATCTGAGGCGGCCGCGCGGTCCCACGCCGCCAAAAAAGCCAAAACGCGCTATCGTCGACGTGTCAAATATATTGAACAACAATCAAAAAGCAGAGAAAGCTTGTTGAATGATATCACATCCTGTTGAGAAATCGACCCTTGCCCCAAACGGCTACCACAACCCTCAAGCTCTAAGAACTGAACGAAGTACTCGCCGTTTAATCACTTTTGCAGCATGGAGACGTTGTTCGGAGTCTAGGTACGCCGACGGCTCATCAATCAGATAAACGCTAGCCGTTTTTCCGAGGCAAAGCACCAATGCGGATTGTTTGCAACTCACACCAGAAAGCGTTTGCACTGAAATTGTTCCAGTTCGCTAATCGAGAAAAACAAATCTGGAAGCTTCAACCAGCTCATCAACTTACAGCAATATTCAACAAAATGCTGGATAGTCAGGCATGAAGCCTTGACAGAATCCGTTCAGATTCATGAGCAGGTATACTTCCTTGGATATCATGTAAATTTCACAGTAAATATTATCCAAGCGAATGGATAAATAAATGACAGAAGGTGCAAAACAAAACAAGCTCGATTGATGAAAACCAGTGAATTAATCGTGTTGAAGTTTTTTTTATTCTTGTCCTTCAGTAACCTACAAGTTAAAATTGATTCCACGGTAAAGACTACGTCTCTCTTATCCCTGTCAGTCTCGCCCCTTTCTCGTTAGAGTCTCTCGTTCGGGCGTGCACGTGCGTGTGTTTTCCACAACCGCAATCGCCTTACTCTAGCAAGACCTACACCTGACACAACACCTCATAACTATACTGCCCCTGTTATCGTATAATGTGTAAGTTCAACCCATTTTTTGCACTACCCATGAATTTTGAGAAAAACATAACCAATTTGAATGATGTGAGCAGAACTCCATACCTCTCTATCCATAAGCTGATCGATCATCAGAGGATTCATTACATCTGACTTGAACTGAGGATGCATGTACATATTAGGAATCTTTTCATGAAGCATATGTCGAACCTGAAAATTCCCTCTTCAAATCGGAAAAGAATGGAGAAGAAGACGAAGGTCGAGCTTACATAGTTTTCATATTTAGGACTAATTTTCTGAGGCTTATAAGAAATTGTCATATTTGGCATTTCGACCTCTTCATCTGGTTTCAGTGAACCAGCCAGCAACCTGAATGATCATTTATTTGCCAGGCAAATTGAAGAAATTATATATGCAAAAGGAATGAAGACAAAGCAGCAACTGGGTAAAGAAGCAATTCTACTTACCTAATCATTGTAGTCTTACCGGTTCCGTTCTCACCCAACATGACGATAATCTCCGAATCAGAGAAATCACCTGGCTCCACATTCAACTTTGAATCCACCCAGATTCTTCGACATTGCAGGGTACTAAAAATCAAAAGCTATGGAAATATACTTGCAACAATTAATGGAACAAAGGTAGACGAAGAAAAAGTGCAATACCTTGAAGTTACCAGTACGTTTCACAACCTCGTCTATTTGCTCGGAAACTCGAAAACAGAGCCTGTCCTCACTAGAAGCATTTACATAGTTAGCGTTCCATATAAGGAGAAAAATTTAGACATCATAAAATAAGAAAAACTTGAAAACGTACCGGAATCGCATATTCTCCGTGCGAATAAATCCATCGAGGAACATATTAAAG